TGGTCCTCCCCGTCAGCCCAGCCCTCCGTGGTCCTCCCCGTCAGCCCAGCCCTCCGTGGTCCTCCCCGTCAGCCCAGCCCTCCGTGGTCCTCCCCGTCAGCCCACACGTATGCCTTGTCGCCTCCTTGCTAAGAACAAACAGAGGCAAACAAGCCTTCCTCAACCCGGCTTCTCCTTGGACCACAACCTTCTCTGCTTCCCCTCCTGAAAGAGTTGCTCATGTTCCACTCATTCCCTGCTCTTCGCATCCACAGCCCCGGCTGCAAACCCCTCTGCCCAACCCACCCCCGGGGGCCCCTCCAGTCCCTCTCCTCCTGGCCCTTCCCTGACCCTCGAGCCCCGTGGCCACTCACTTTCCGCTCCTTGGCTCCAGTAAACCCCCTTCCTGTGCCCTCAGGTCACACGTCCATCTCCTCTGCGTATCCTCCTCATTTTCTTCGGATCAACCGTCCAGTCCTCCAAGTTGACGACCTGCACCTTCAGCCTCCTACCCCATCTGCCTGTTAGCTCAGGTTCACCCGCACTCCATCCCATGCCGCCTGCTGCCCTCGTCCTTTGTAGATCTCTGTGCACCAGCAAGCGCTCAGAATCAGCCTTCGACACCCACCTTCCCCACGGGGCTCTAGCCCGCGAGGACGGGGGCCATGCCTGCGCACTTGAAGTCTGTATCTCCGAGCCGGGCATGTAGGCGCTCAGTGAATATTCTCAAACTGCCCACTCCTGCATGCTCCCTCTCAGACCACAGCCTCCGCCCTGACACAAAAGCTGGACGTGAGCCAGCCTGCACCCTCGTCCCCCTTCACTGCTCAGAGCCAGCCCGGGTCCCAGGGCTGTCTCAGCCCCCATTCCCTCTCTGCTCAGCCTGGCAGGGGCTTCCCGTCTGGCTGCCTCCTCATCTCCAGCTCCGTGACACAGCCCCTACCTGCCCTCAGAAATCAAAAGTGACAGATTTTGCTTTTATCTCTGTGCCTCAGTGTTCCTATCTATGAAATGGGACAATAAGCACCCCCCCACACACACACACCACCATTTCATAGCGCTGTGGAGGGTATAATGAACTCACACAATTAAAGGACCTGGAATTGTGCCCAGCACATGGTAAACATTCAATAAATGTCAATTATTGTATTACTTGTTGTGCGGAGTATGCTGTCCTTCCAAAGACAGGAGGCACAAATCTTTAGTAGTACTGAACCTGTATAATGCTTGCTTTGAAATACCAAATCTTAGGACAGAGAGGAATGTTTTAAACTGATCTTACGTACAGCCTGTTTGCCCAATGAATGCGGTACCCTTTGCAAGTATGGAAATGAGGATTTTATAATAAGCCTGTCACATGTGACCGTGTCCCAGTGTGGACACTAGATGGAGCTGAGACCACATGCGTGGCTGTTCGGACCCAGAAACAGGGGAGAGAGCCACCTGACCCTCTTACATGGAGCCTTCAGACCGGGCTGGAGGCGGTGCTGGTTCAAACTGGATCCCCTGTTGGAAGAGTACACTAA